GGTCATGGTTCACGTTCACGTGATGATATCAGGTTCATGTTTATGTTATTACCGGTTTCATGTTCAGGTTATGTATATGCCAAGATCATGATGTTGTTATTATTTTCAATGTTTACATTAGTACGAGTTTTCACGGAGCACAATGTTATAGTGCTCACGACCCACTTTTATCATGTTTTTCAGGTCAGGATGTCGGGCCGGGAGCGTGAGATGACGAAGGCTTCAGGACGTTTATGTTTATGACTGTGTATATTTTATGACGATACTACGTTTCTGCTGATTATGATTTTGACGAACTTATCTTTTGATCGGACTTTCAGATAATTAATGTTTTCAGTAAACTGAAAATTTTGCTAAAAATTAAGATAACGGTTTTCCAAAATAAGTCATGATTTACGGTAGCACCCCGACTCAGTTTTCGCAAAGTAAAAGATTTTATTATTAAATAACATTGCGAAATTTTCGCACTCTGATTTCACGATAAGGCGGGGTGCTACATTGCCGCTCTCTGTGCTGTCGTGCGCTGTCTGAATGGTCGTAGCTTTAAGTAGACATACTCGCCTGGCGCGTAATTCTCCTCTAGTCGCTTCCCATCTACGAAGGCTTTGGTTTGATTAATCGAGCCTTCGAGATTTTTCTTCAACTCTCGCAACATTAAATCTCGCTCCTCAAGTTCTCGACCGACTTCATCGTTGACCGTGCCTCCCTCCGAGTAATTGATCAGTGTTGGCGGTTACGCCCATATACCAACTCGAATGGAGTCATTTTTTGGTCGACTCATGTTAAGTAGTATTGTCCCAGTACTCAGCCCAGGGCAGAAAATTTTCCCACCTCTTTGGAAATTGATGAACATTGCACCGTAGGTATTGCTCAAGGGTTCGGTTGGTTACCTCGGTTTGCCCATCGGTTAGTTACCTCGGTTTGCCCATCGGCTTGGTCCCCTGCAGCTTGAAGAACTCGGACCAAAAGCTGCTCATAAAGATCCTATCTCGATCAGAAACTATAGATCGTGGAGCCCCGTGTAGCTTCATCACATATTCAACGAATAGCCTGGCGATAGATTTCGCCGTATAAGGATGAGTAATGGGTATAAAGTGAGCATACTTGGTAAGTCGATCCACTACGACCATTACTCCGTTGAACCCATTAGAACTTGGTAGCCCTTCAATGAAATCCATGTTGATGTCTTCCCAAATTGCCTCGGGTGTTGGTAGTGGTTGCAGCAGCCCACTTCGTCGACGCGAATCAGCCTTAGTGCGCTGACAGTCGTCGCATCGCGATATGTAATCCCGAACATTGTTCTGCTGTCCCAGCCAAAAGAAGGTATTGGCTATCCTCATCCAAGTGCGGTAGATACCCGAGTGACCTCCAATTTTAGAATCGTGGAAGTGCTGCATGATCTTCTCGCGTAGCTGCCCACTGTCGGGAACGAATACTTGGCCTCGATATAGTAGTAGGCCATTGTGCAGCTCATAATCAGCAATGTTTCTCCTGCCTCGATCTTCCGGCGCAACTCCTGGCAATAAGTATCTTCCTCTTGCGCCTTTCGAACCTCTTCCCAGATGGTCCATGTCGGCCCGGTGATAGCATTAAGCTCAGCTACATCTCTCCGTCGGGATAATGCGTTGGCTACAGTATTCTGTCGACCTGGCTGGTAGACTATCTCAAAGTCGAACCCCATCAGTTTCGAGACAAACTTCTACTGTGGGAAGTAACAATCCTTTGCTCGAGTAGATGCTTGAGTGGCTGCTGATCGGTCACAATTCGAAATCGACGCCCTAATAGATACGACCTCCAGCATCTTACAGCCTCGACAACTGTTAGCATCTCCTTTACGTACACAGATAACCCCAATCGAGTCGTGCCTAGCGCCTTGCTGAGGTAGGCTAAGGGTCGTCCTTCATGCACTAACACAACTCCAATTCCAATATCACTTGCATCTGTGTGTACCTCGAACAAGACATCAAACCTTGGCATTGCGAGCACTGGCGTCGTGGTCATGGCGCCCTTTAGCTTCTCGAATGCTTCCTCGCTTGTCTTTGTCCACTAGAACCCGCCCTTCTTGGTCATCTCGGTCAACGGCTTGGCGATTGTCCCATAATCCTTCACAAACTTCCTGTAATAGCCTGTGAGCCCTAGGAATCCTCGGAGCTGCGTGAGACTTATTGGCTTAGGCCAGTCGACCATAGCCTCTATCTTCCGTGGATGAACCTTTACGCCAACGTAGGATATAAAGTGACCTAGGTACTCAACCATTCCTGCCCGAATGAACACTTGAACGGCTTGATTATAAATGAATTAGCCTCCAAGACTTCGAGGACCACTCTCAAATGCTCAAGATGCTCAGCCCATGACTTTGAATACACCAAGATATCATCAAAGAAGACTAGAACAAACTTACGTAGATACTCCTTGAAGATAGAATTCATATCAAATTGGAAAG